AAAAAGCAGGTATGGATAAATGTGAAGCACCAGATGTAGGACAAAGCTATTAGTCAATCAGGTTTACTCATTTATTTATATATCATCAGGCACTTGAAGCAAACCTGTTTCGCAAGTCCCAAGCTGCTTTGCATTCTCACTGCTTCAATCACATTAGTATAAATTATACACAGACAGCAGTTAAATCTGAACAAGGCAAACAGGTGTTCACTTTGCATGAGTTCAAGAGGAAATATCTCACAAGTTGCAAACACCCTATTAAGTGCTTGTCCCAACCAGTTGAGTTACAGTTTATATGCATGTCTGCCCAGGCTCATATAATACTGTATCTGAAGAAATCCTTTCAAGGCGTTTGACATATTGAGTTCACAATAATGGGATGGCTGTGAGATGACAGCGAACTTTGACCATCACAATCTAACCAGTTCATCCTTGAGTAAAAGTGGACCTTTGCAACAAATTTGAAGACATTCCCTCAGGGTGTTCGTGAGATATCGCGCTAATGAGAATGAGACGGGCGGATAGATGGACAACTGACAAAACAATGTCTCCAACTACAGCTGTCACAGGCGCAGTCATAAAAAGGCAGGAATACAGGCACGCACACACGTGCAGATGAAACGAGACAAAGCCACAGGAACACCGCAATATTGACAAAGTGATAATGAAGCTCAGGGTTGTCAATAATGCGGTGTCACTTGTTCAGATGGGTGTGGAGCAAGCTCACACCGTCACTACTGTTTACCCAACCAAGGCCGACTACATATCAGTGTTTATGCCACAGTCACATCAGCTCACACAGTGAAGGGGAAGTTACTACATCGTAACAAAACAACACTGTGTCAAAACTTCAAAATAAACAGAAGCAACTTCAAAATAAGCACAGAACACAACACACACACACACACACACTAAGAGGCAACCATCTAAACCACTTAAAACACTGTACACGCAGTCCCACACATACATTGACCTGGAAAGTACTACCAGAACTAGAACCATGTTGGTCTCAGCAGATCTACAGAGCCAAAAAACACAGAGCTCTCTTTCATCGCACACAAATGCACACACAGAGCCACTTCTGGCGTCCCCCACTTACACATCAACGCAAACCACAGTGGCCTTACCATTCATATTTGCAGGTGGCAGACTCAGCAATGGGGAACTTCTGGTGGCGTCCTCAGCTACTGCTCGCAGCCATCTGCAAAACACACAGTCATCAGTGAACACTGCAGCTGAGTCGGGGCCGCCTCTGAGAGGAGGGAGAGAAAGACAGAGAGGGAGATTCTGTCGGTCAGCAGAGTCAAACAGGGCTCCTCCTGTTCTCCTCAGTCAGGAGAACTCTGGCCACGTCCCAAACCTGTTAAACCACTGGGACGTGTCCCAGTACTATCCACACTGGCTCTGTAGTGGTCAGAGATCAGTCCAATACATACTACACAAGCTAGACAAAAGTTTATGAGACATCATTTGCACTTAATGTCCAGAAGAATACAAGCTCCTGTCCAGTGCCATGTTGATCAAATATTGGACAGCATCTTCTGGGGACCATGAATGCCTCTACAAAAATTCGTCCAATCTAATAGAAGGACCACAGTGACGACTAACCAACACCGGTGTCCAGAGCTGACAAACCTAACACCACTTTCTAACCTGCCTTTGTGTCACCTTGATGACCATGCCTTATCCAAGTCTGTTAGGTCACGTTTTGAATCCATCCTTTGTTTTGCTACAGGCACAAAGCAAAACAAAACAAATCACACTCCTTGGCCCCACCCCTCAAAACCCTCTCCTCTATGCCAAAACAGTGACAACTTTGGCAAAAAAATTAATAAAAAAAAAATTTAAAAAAATCTGAAGACTGTCATTTTTTCAGTATTACTACTTGTTTAATGACAATTCTTTTCCCCAAAGGAAATGCTTCAATGCTAATGTTCGTTTCTTCAGTTACGGTTCTGTTTTCAATGCCAAGCTTTATTTTTCAGTGCCAAAAACTAAAGTCATTGATCTGGTGCCACAGAAGCAGAGCTACTCTTGCAAAAAACCCGTTTTGTGCTGTTGGAGGTCCACTGCTCCCACAGAAATAGACAGAGATGATGTTGTTTCTACAGCTTTCATATTCAGTGCAATAAGAGCACGCTGGACACCTGCTTCCTCTGTGATTCTCTCTCTCTCTCTCCCTTCAGCCATTCAGACTCACATGATGAAGTCGGAGGAGGAAGAGGAGGAAAGAAATTCCAATCTCTCTGCTCAACACTTCCTGCTCAGCAACCCACAGGCAAGAATTTCCCTCTTCAACCTGAACTGACAGGAAGTGATGGTGGATGTTAGCAGAGGGACAGTGCTGATGTCACAGAATATCAGAGCTGGGGCTGTATGAGAATTACAGATTGACAAGTGACTGTCAGGAGGCAAAACTGATGTGAGCACTGCCAAAGAGAAAACAAGTGAGATAAAGAGATGAGGAATGAGTAGGGAAGAAAAAAAAATAGTTTTTGTGAATGTGGCCGATGTTCTTACAAGGGCAGAGAACAGCAAGGGAGAGTTAGTTTACTGCCTGCCATCTGTTGCTCTGCCTCTCTCCTTCTCCTTCAGTCACTTATCATGTTTCCCCTCTTCAGTTTCTGACTTATTCTTTTACTTTTCCCCCTGTTCTTCTTCATACATATACTCTATTAACTACTGAAGTATACATGTGTACACACAACAATTGTTCTTTCTGGGAAATGCCATGGAGAGTCATGACATCCAAAACGTATGCAGTAGTAAAGTAACAGGATGGCATTCGTTAACAAGAGAAATACAAAGACTCAAGTTATCATTTACAGTAGCTAAGCCTATGAACACATTATTTGGGCCTAACACAGTTCTCTGCACTATAGTAACCACTGCCACAGAGTGAAAACTATTAAAAAAAAGATTATATATTCAAAAATTAAATTGTTTTAAATAATATATTGGCAAGTATTTATGTTTGTGCAAACATACACATATTTTCAGCAAGGATCAATCACATTTAGTCATCAAAAAGTGGAAAGAAAATTATTTCACATTTATCTTTTACTTAAATAAATAAATATTCATCTTAACTAATGCCTGACACAGCGCTGTAAACAGTGCTGTAAACAGTGCTGTTTGCTATACAAACTACCTTATCTATTCATAATACAGTTTTATGTTTTAGTTTATCATCATACCTACAGAAGGGCAAGAAATGACTGAGTGAGTGGAAATTTAAAAAAAAAATGCAGGGGTCACCAATTAAACTGCTGATTATTGTCTTGATCATTTATATTTTTATTTCCAGAATATCAGACATCAGGAAAAATCTCCATTTTGACATTCCAGAGTCAAAGGTGGTGTCTTCAAATGTCTTATTTTGTCCAACCAACAGATTTGAAGATATTCAGTTCATTCTCATGTCTGGCAAAGAAAAGCCTCAGTTCCTCACATTAAAGACTGTGGAACCAGAATATGTTGGTGAGTTTTGCTTCACAATAGTTGCTAAATGAGAATGAAAAGTGTTCATTCATTTGTCAACCAGCTGTATATGTCCCAAATATAACAATTATCTGGCATCAGCATCAACAGCCTCATTCATCACTATTTGTGAGGCTCTAGTTATGCAATACAACCTCTGGTAATATAACACTAGAGGAATTATAATAAATACAACAGGCTGTAAAGTTTAATGTTTCCGGAGTGAGATTGGAGCTGGACTTTCCCTGACTGTACGGCTGCCTGACTGACTAAACGGCTGACTGGACTGGACACATGAGACTCGCTTCAGTCGTCGATTCAGCTTGGTAAACCTCATGCAAATCCTTTTGCAAATCACCATCCACATGCGCTCACACACACGTGGTCTGTGTCTCAGTAGAAGCCTTTAGCTCCTAAATAAACACAGCAGATTCAGGATATTCGTAGCGAAAACACCCTGAGGTAGAAAGGGGTGAGGGTCGGCCAGCAGAGTTCCACCTACCCTAAAACTAACTTCATTTTATACTTCAACCACTGATGCAGGGCCTGTTAGAAAACCACTAAAAACAAGGTTGGAAAATAGACAAGGTGGTGGCTGTGATACTGAAGCACTGTTGTGACTATGCTACAGTCTTCACCATAGAGAGGAAGCTAGCATATTTACAGACAGCACAACACAAAGTTCCCATTCTTTGATCGTCAAACGGACTGGGCAATTTTTTAAACCTCAGAAAAACTTTAAAGCACACTATGTAATCTGGACACCAGGTATTTGTAATGAAGGTAGACAGACAACTGGAAAGTGTAGTAAAGTCTCTGACAGCAAGATGTTGATTTCCTCCCAGCTCTTTTATTTAGCTTGTTTTAGTGTACTGTCTTTTTGTTTTGTGTGACTAGAATCTCAGTTTTTCTTCTGTCAGTTCAGTGAAATACAGCTGGACAGAGTAAGCCTAACATTATTGTTTTCCTATTTCTCTAAGGCCTGACCCAGGCTAAAAACGGTGCCTACCCACATACAGCAGTCCCATTACTGTTGACATGGCTGAAGATATAAATAAATGGCTGTATAAATAGATATAAATAGACACGACTCATATTAGGTCCCAACCTGTAGATTATAAAACAGATTTTGCACAGTCATGCAGAGGTGGTGAAGCATGCAAGTATACGCCGTGTTTACAACATTTAAACAGACGGAATCAGCGTACATCACATCAGATCATCCACCACTAAACCTGCATGTACAGACTGTACCTGACTTAAACTCAGCCAGGTATAAATGCAACCCATACAGTTTGACCTGCTCTGATGACAAGTTTGTCAGCTCTGCCTGACTCATTTCCATATTTAGCATCAAATAACAACACAGGCAGAATAGAGCTAATGAGAGCGGTCGTAGAACTGGACACCATTATGCAGACATCCAAATCCGAATGTCAAAAGATCAGAGATCAAAATGGAGTCCAACGGTCCAGCTGTATTACCTGATCTCTAAGTGGCAGGCAGATTGAAGTGTGGATGAAGGTAGAGAACCAAAAATGTCAGACCTGTATTCAATTCTGCAGACTCTTATGGGCGAGCAGGAGGCCCGAGAAGCTCAACGGAGGGAAGAGAGTGCACGGCAAGAACAACGGTTTAAAGCATTACAACATCAGTTTCAGCTATTACAGCTGGAGGTACAGGCACGTACAACTCCTGTTCCTGATTCTCCACCCATGGAGGGTGAGCCAGTGGATGTAGAGCCACCTGATTTAAGTGGGGGACTACAGGTTAGAGTAGCTTCCCCTTTGGAGAAGGTTGCATCATCTCAACTCTCAGCAGGTCAGTCTCAGTTTCATCATATGCCTAGATTGGAAAAGCTTTCAGACAATGATGATATTGAACATTTTTGGACTACATTTGAGCAAATTGTAGCAGCATGTCGACGGTCTGAGGGCGACTGGGTTTTTCATCTGATACCCCTGCTGACTGGTAAGGCGAGAGGTGCCTATGTACATATGGACTTGGATGATGCTCAGGATTATGAAAAAGTAAAAAGTGCTATTCTAACTAAATACGACATAAATCCTGAGACTTATAGGCAGAAATTCCGCTCCCTGGAGGTGAATCCTGATGAGAGCCCCAAAGAATTGTATGTAAGGCTTAAGGAATTATATGGGAAGTGGATCCAGCCAAATGGTAAAACTATACAACAGATTGGTGAAACAGTTATTTTAGAACAATACTTGAGAATGATGTCTCCAGAGTTACAGGTGTGGATTAAGGAGCATAACCCAGAATCTGCGGCAGAAGCAGCCACACTGGCTGAGGTGTTTGTGGCTGCTCCGAAAAAGAATCAACCATGGAGTTATACTGCTTGGCAAGCCACTAGAGTTCCACTAAAGAGCAAGCCGACTGTTCCTCAACCCCATCAGAGGATAAGCACGAGTGGGGAGAAGTTTCCGGTGAGGGGGAGCCGACCAGTAAAGTTGCCTTTAAAACAGCATGGTAAACTGCCAATCTGTTATCTCCGTGGGCAAGAAGGGCACACTAAGCCAGTTTGCCCAAAAAACCCCGCAAGACTAACTCAAATGTGGTTTGTGTCCCATCATGGTGGTGAACCTAATGCTGATTGTAGTCAAAAAGTAAGAATGATCCCTATTGAGGTGAATGGCCAGGCTGTTCAGGCTTTAATTGATACTGGCAGTGATCAGACCTTGGTGCATAGTAAATTGGTGCCATCTAATGTTGTTTGTGTTAATGATATGATCCCTATTTGTTGTGTTCATGGGGATGAAAAACCTTATCCCACTGCAGATATGTTTATTAAGGTGCAGGACCAAGTCTACCTTCTGAATGTTGGGGTGGTACCTAATTTGCCTTTTTCAGTAGTGTTGGGTTGTGATCTGCCAGTACTCTTTGATCTGTTGCACATGACTCAAAAATGTAATGTGGTTGTGACTAGAGCTCAAGCTGGACAGTCAGACCAACATTTAGAAACTCTCAGTGCCCTGCCTTTCTTTCATGCTGATTTAGAGACTGCACCCGGGAAGTCACGCAAATTACGCAGGGAGAGAAAGCAGGAAAAAATCAAAGGTACTGTTGTTCAATCAGTAGTAGATCCTACACCTGATGTATATGGGGGTTTTAAGATTCCTAGCAACATGGTGTACATGCAACAGAAGGATCCACATTTAGTTTCATTGTTACAGAGAGCACAAGAGAGGGAATTGGGTACTGAGCCTGACTTTAGCATGACTGAGGAGTTTTTTCTTCAGAAGGGAGTACTTTATCATCAGCATGGAGTAGTCAAGCAGCTAGTTGTTAACTGATCAAGGCACCAACTTCATGTCCACTTTGCTTAAGCAGGTTTACCAGCTTCTGGGTATTAGGAGCTTACGAACAACTCCATATCATCCTCAGACTGATGGTTTAACAGAACGTTTCAACCAGACTCTTAACCAGATGCTTTGCAAATTTGTTAATAATGCAGGTTCTGACTGGGATCAGTGGTTACCATACCTCCTTTTTGCATACAGAGAAGTGCCTCAGGCCTCCACTGGCTTCTCCCCATTTGAACTCATGTATGGGCGGGAAGTAAGGGGGCCTCTTTCACTCTTGAGGGACCTCTGGGAGGGTGGTCAAGGTAGTAATAGGCCTGTGAACATTGTGACATATGTGGTGCAGATGAGAGAACGGCTGGAGAAAATGTCTGAGGCCCAGCAGTACCAGAAGATATGGTATGATCGGTCCGCTTGACAGAGGACTTTTGACCAGGGTCAGAAGGTGCTGGTATTATTGCCATCAGAGTAGAGTAAGCTGCTGGCAAAGTGGCAAGGGCCTTTCAAGATTCAGGAGAAGCTGGGACCTACAACTTATAAAATTGCCACCCCAGGGCAGCAGCGTTCTAGCAGGGTCTTGCATGTCAATCTGCTTAAGGAGTGGGTGCCAAGGCCGGAGAGGACTGAGGTTTTGCTCATCAGGAACGTGCAGGAGGAAGAGGAGATGGATGAACAATATTTGCCACCTGTAATATCAAGGGACCTCGATCTCCACCACCTCTCTGAAGAACGACAGTGTCAGGTGAGAATGTTGTGTGCATTATATTGTCTTAAGGGATGGAGCTGTTGTGAGACGTATGAGATACAGGATTCCTGAGCGGCTGTTGGTGTCCCTGAAGAAAGAAGTGGATCTGATGCTCTCATTGGGGATTATTGAGCCATCAAAAAGTGAGTGGTGTCATCCTGTGGTCCTTGTTCCAAAAAAAGATGGTACTATACGATTCTGTATGTGCAAGAAGGAGCATTAGCATAGGTCATTCCTCCCCACAACTATCAAACTGTACAATACATCACTGCAGTGATAAACTACCATGCAATGGTAAACATTGCAATACTCAAATCCTGGGGTAAAATGCGTGGTTAATATGTACATATGTAAATTTTGTTCTTGATTTTTCTCTTGAATAATTTATGCTGTCTTAAAATCTGGAATTTATCAAGATATGTGTGTGGTGATTGTTCTCATGGTGTTATGTTGTTTGTTCTCTATTGCTGGTGAAACACTGAAATTTCCCCATTGAGGAATTGTGAAGGCCTCAGTCCTGGCCTTCACCATGCGAGGGCCTAAACCGCCACCAGACATGGACTTGGGTGGGTAATTTCTTGATGTGTGTAGGTTAAGTTGTAGGTAAATATTGTTTGAGATTAGACATACACAATTGATCAATGAGCATGCACGTTTGATTAATTTTGTATTGTTAATATGTTTACCTTTTCTTTTGAGTTACTGTGTTTCCTGGTCCATGGATGGGGGGGGCAATTCAACCAAAAGATTGGACTGAGGAAGCAGCAGGTTTAAATACCTCCCACTAGGCCTGGACTGCACCAAGTGCCCAATACAAGAAATGGGGGAGTTTGGGAGAAATGTATTGTTTATTTGTTGGTAGTTTATGTTGGAACTTTATTTGTCAAGTTATGTTAACTTCTTTACATTTAAAGGAAATATTTAGTTGAGAGTAGACTGTCTGTTTAGTGTTTATTAGTTGATTGCTTTGGTAGTGTCTTTAGTTTACCCCTTGTGTGTGTTATTGGTTTGGCCAGCCAATATATATGTTCCCCTGTGTGTGTCTCATTTGTCAGGTTAGTTGGTTTTGTTGAGGTATTGGACAGTTCGGTTTGCTGTATTTTGAGTTTCCTTATCTTTTGTTGACCTCTTTTAGGGCCCAATTTATCTGATGTTAATTTTGTATTTTTCTTACTTTTGGGTTAATAAAAAGCCCTTGATTTTGAACTTTGGAAGCTGTGTCTTTTGCCTTACTGCTTGGTCCCTGACAGTGATTACAGGGCCTTTGTTTAAAACCAATGAAAAACTCAAATGTCTTCAGCCTGCACGTTGTCTTTGGACTAATTAAGGCCGACTGCGGTGTAGAGGTAACAGAAAAACATACTTCCTCATAATGTGGTCTATCCTTTCATTAATGGCTTGGCTTTGTCACCTGCTTCAGGACCGGGACATTATGAAGTGTTGGATAAATAGCCTTGCTGTTCCTGATGTGAACACAGTTTTGTCTTTATCTCTCCATCTCTCTCTGACTGCATCTGTCAGCGTCTGTCTGTCCCTTCGGCTCTGTTTAGTCAGCACTTTTGATACTGCACCTTGCTGCCATGTAGAGTTCTCATTTACATCAATGGAGGGACATAAAAAGCTCCATGAAGGACTAAACAGCAATAGATGAGACTACAGAAAGGAATTACTGATATTTTACAATGAACCTTTTCTCCTATGTTAATCTGTCCACTTCCTCATCCCCTGACTGTTGCTTCATGCATCACTGTATAGCTATGTCTGTCCATAAATCCATATCCTACCAGTTGTGTCACCTTGGACTGTCCTCAACACTACTCTGCTCAGGAACAAATGCTCACTGTTGTTCTAAGAAATGACAGATTTTCAGCCGCCTCACTCGCTGACTTCACACCAATGACATCAACTCCATCCACAACTCCCTTTCTGATCTGACAACTCCCTCTGTGTTCATTTCTATATATGAGTCAACTTACCCACACTTCTTTGAGTTATCCATCTCCTTGACTTTCTCACTTTTGAGCTGGCTTTGTTAAAGTGATATTTCAGCAAAGTGCACTTGCCTTAAACACCCCATCCACCAGAATTGTTTGATTAATGCTGTTTGCATTGCTGTGTTTTGTTTTCCTAAGAGGCAGGGCATGCCTCTCCCTCCTTTACTTTGCTTTGTTTTGACCCACCCTGATTTGTCCATATATCAGAACTGGAGAAAGTACTCTGATAAAATATTAACTTTATAGTATCAAACGGTCTCATACCTGTTGAAGTACAGCCATATGTGCATGTTTCAGGATCATCGCCATCATTGTTTTAGTGAGGAAGGTTTTAAAAGAAGCCTATAAAAGGTCGGTTAAACCTTACAGCAGCTGAATCGCTTCCCTGCCACTCCTGTACTTGACTTGTCCAGAGGTGGTCTGTTGATTTGGTGTTGCAACAGTAGTGATGATCTCAAGTAGCAAGACACTGATAATGTACTGTAATTATAATGTAAACCACAACCCCGGGGGGTGAGGTGGTAAGAGCACTTCCACAGCTGGCAGGCATTCAGGACACTCCAGCCTCATGTATGTCTGCAAACGTGGAGGTAAAATCCATGTTTGATGATCAATTTAAAGGCAATGGCCTTTTCAAGACTCTGCCACAGAGGTCAGTAATTATCTAACTACTGTAAGGTGGAGAAGCTGGGCTCGTCCTGTTCAGTGTTCAGTAATGAAGTGACTGACAGCAGGTTTGACAGAGAGACTGAGTGAATTACAGCTTTGCTGAGCCTTCAACCTATGTGTTAAGTACAGGCAGAAGCATCTAGTGATTTTACTGATAACGTCACTGGGCTGTATCAGATGAGGTTGCAGTTTTTTTGTAGCAAGGCAAACAATGATGTCGTGTCAGCTTTGACCATGCTTTGTTAGTTGTTGGTTTTGCAACTCTCAACACACATTTGTGATACATTAACAACATATATAACTGTGAATGTGCAGTATTCAGTGTGTGTCAGTGCTTAGGGATTGCAAAAATAAACACGCTCACTCCACTGGGACCACTGTAATATGTTGCTGGATTGATTTGTTAAACAGAAAATACACTTCCCATCATCTGTGGCAAGCTCTTCAACATGTATCTCACATCACGCCTGAATTTCTTCCCTGCAACAGCTGTTCTCTTTGTATCTCTCGCTTTTATTTATTTTCCAGGAAATGCTCTAAATATGATTCCTCCATGGTCACATGAACATTAAAAAGACTCTAAGGCTGTAAACATCACTGTTCATTCAGTTATTTTAACTGTAACTGCTGACCCATAAAATTTGCATTGGAGTGGACATCAATATTACACCTGTGCTAAAACTGTGCATTCATTTTGTGCAGCTGCAATTGATAGGAAATATTCTAAGTCAGTGTTCTGAGTAATTTAAATTCTGTCTACAGTAAATAAAGACACCTGGAAACAGTATTCACTATAAAAAAATATCATATCAAAGCAGTGCAGTTATTATTAAATTCTTAAGGACATCAGCATTTGTCAAAGCCTCACATTTCAAGTAATACATAAACTTTACTGGTGGTACTGCAATGAAATATAAAGTATTAGCTGAAATTACCCTGGAAATGGTCAATTATCAAATACTGGCAAAATATAGATATTGTGGGTTCCTATAGCCTAATGGTCTGTGTTGTGACTTTCAGTGATATTGGAAGTGATATTTATTCTCTGGTGGTTTTTCTCTTTGGGACAAAGTACATAACTTAGCATTGATGCTGTATTGGAGACCATTGTTTTCTACTAACAATCTCAACCTAACTTACAGCTCCACCTGTCTGTCTGTAAAATAACCGGATAGAGTAACATTCCCTGATCACTTGTCACCAGTCAGCCTGCCTGCAACCTGCTCAACTAGTTTGAACCGAGAGGAATTTAGAATACTTTACAGCAAAGCTGCCTCACAGACGTACTAATACATACTCCACATGTGGGTATCAACAATAACTTTGGCATCTAATGAAACCACATCTTACCTAGCTGCCCTAATTCTCTTCCCAGGACGTTTAAGAAGTCCTTTAAGAAGCATCAGCTTTCTAATATAGATTTTTCTTTTATATTCATGAATTAAAGAAGGCAGACTAAACAGACATTATCAGGGGAAATGGTATACAGCTTAAAAGCTTACGAGAAATCTAAAAGCTATTTGTAGAAACATTTGCAAAACTATATGAAACTTACACTCAAGCTTGGATAAGCAGTCTCGCTTGTGTACGTTACCTCTCTCATCACGGCCAGAAAACATCAACTTCTGAGCTTCCCAGGGGACTCACGTTGTCGTTCACAACTTCTGGAAGGTTTCCTACATACAATATAGGAGTTTAGTGTCCCAAAAGAGCAGAAACCGTTGGAAAAATGCAAAAGTTAGCAGCGTTGCTAGTCGGGGAACCTGTTGCTGACAGCTCAGTGTCACACCAACAACATGGCTGACTGGTCGGTGGCTGTGTTAACGTCTGGCCGTCCACCGAGTGGGAGGAGAGAGGGAGGAATAAAAGTTTAACAGATGGAGAATGAGAACAAATAATGGGAGAGCGATGGGAAGATAAAAGATGGAGCAGTACAATAATACAAATTTTTAGACTACTTCCACTTCAGTTGCCTACAGAGCGGTCTAATGTTGTCATAAGCCCCTATAAGGACGGGCGGTCATATTTCTAGCCTCATCTGATTTTGACTGACATTTTGACACAAATAATCAGCTAAATCAACAGCCGTTAATTATTTCTTCTGTATATTATGCCCACTATTATGCTAGTAGAGCAGGTTTTCTTGATAAGGATGGGCTAACTGATAAATAATAGGGTCTGCATTATAGTTTACCACCATGTGTGAAAATAATCTTTTTCATGGTGCAGTTAAAAAAAACTTTTGAAATGATAAAAGTTGTTCATTTTTATGTACAGTTTAGTTATCCCATAAATGCTCACTACATAGCCCATGGTGCTTTGCGGCGGCTCTACCTTACAATTTACGACGTTTTTCAGCAATCTCCGACATGACGTACCGCGGTTTACATCTAGTTTACAGCGATCGATCTTAAGCGTGGGAGTATGTTCAACAAAAATATTCGGAGAAACTTTCGGCAGAGAAAAAAGAGCTCTAGTGACGAGGAGGACCAGCAGAATAACGGCGGAGATGGAGAGGAGAGTGAGAAAGCAGCAATTGTGGTAAATAAGCCGTCCAAATCTGTTCAGGGCCGCGGCATCTCTTGCAGCTCCAAGCGGGAAACGACGCCTCCCAAACCAGACAGCAGTGACGGAGAGAACGGGGAGCCTGTGGAAGTGACAGAAGAAAGAGAAGGGAGAAGGAAAGACAAAGATGGGGAGAAGAAGAAAACAAACACCGTCCTCAGTTTCTCTGACGACAAACAAGGTAAATATGGCGTTTTAAAGCTGATGCAGTACTTTCAAAGCACCCCAGTCAGACGTCGAGTCAACGTCAGTTTGGCAGCAGGTGTTACCAAAACGTTAGAGACAAAGGAAATATAAAATGAATTTGCCTTAAGTTGTCAGGAAAATATAACTTGCAGTTAATTAATAAAATGAAACAATGTAATGTTGGATATGTTGACTAAATATATTTGATCAGTCTCTCTCTCCTCTGTATTTCTTCACACAATTAACCGGGCAAGTGTCAACTGCCCCCAGACTCCCAGGGGACCCGAAAGTCCCATGTTCAGTGCATGTTATTTATTTTTCTTCATAAGTTGATTAATTGCAGATTTGTTGGGGAATCTGCACCACTAACGTTGTGTTTACCACAATGACACTGAGGCACACAAAACCTGAGGTGAGGGAGCATTGTTCTAGCACAGGAGTACTGGTTGGTTTCTAGGTTTTTCTAGTCATATAATGAAGTTGCCATACACGTAGGTGGCAGGGTGTAGCTGTTATATAAACACTGCATAGAAGGTGGTAGTTGGGGGTAGCAAAACACTAGGGCTCATCAGCAAGTTTTTTCTAATGGATCTATGATTTTCTTTTATTGTCCTAGCTGAGGAATCGATGTTTAAAGTCAAGAGGTCCTCTGATAAAGCTGTGCTGTTCCAGGTTAGAAGGAAGGAAGCTTCACCTACCAAGACCACCCACAGCACAGGTAGGTATCTGAATGTATCATATTGTAAACACAGTTCTTCATGTAATTCAAATGAGTTACATATTTTAGTAATTGTCTACACAGTGAGATAATGTTGGAAAATATCATCATACTCTGAAACTTTTCATATTGACATGTCACCCTCTCCCCTGTCCCAGCCCCAGCTGGTGGTGGTGCCCCGCCCTCTGCTTCTCCCAGGCAAGATTATGACAGTCACACTTCACCACATGTTCTGCACTATAGCAGCAATGAAGAGAATAATAGTGATGATGATGACAGTGATGAAGTTTGTGCCAGGTCTTCCTCAGCTAGCTCAGCCTCAGACTCCAGCTGCTCTGCTACTAAACCAGGTGTGTGTGGTTTTTTTTTTGGTGTATACTGTATGTCAGTGTCAGAGAGAAAAACTCCCCTGGTGTGTGCTAAAGGTTTTAGCATGCACACACATTACTCATTGGAGCTGAATTATATGGGGAAAATGCTCAGTATACTGTATTATAAACACGATGGAAATTAGAGTTTTGGCCACAATACAGATTGTGCATGTTTGACTGTATGCCTGTTCCTGCGTTTACATATCTGCTGATTTATCTTTACAGTAATCATCCATAACGCCGAACAGATTAAGGCAGCCAGGAGGCAGCGGCGTGCCACTCGAGCCCAAAAAGAGTTTATTTCCCTAGGAAGAGATGGCTGTGCTGGTAGCACACCGGATCACTACACCAGACTCACTGAAGATGACAGAGTTGATGATGATGATGATGATGAACTGGATGATCATGAGAGAATAATTGAATTCGCCCCACGATTGAAGAGCATCAGAGAAAGGATTGCTGAGAAGCTTGGTATTTTGGGGAGGGGATTAGATTTTAGTGTAAGATGTGTTTTGATGCATAAATAACCCAGCCGCAAGGTTGTAACAGCTGATATTGACTTTGAAAACAAGCTGTACTGGTCCAGTTGTAATGTATTGGTAATATCTAAGTTAACATGAGATTAACATTTTGTGACCCCTTTTTCTATGAACATGTAAATTTGTACAAACTATCAAACTACATAGGCAACAGCATTAAACTTAAATGGTCTGATGTTCAAAAATGGGATTATTATAGGCCTGCCCTAAAAGCTGTTTTTGCTTAGCACCACACTGTGTAAACATGAAGTGTATTTTTGTATAATCTAGAAGGAAGTGATGGTAGTCTCTCAGGGACTGATGGGGAAGAGCAGGAACTTTGGGAGGAGACACAAATTGGCAAGGGAGTCAAGAGACGGCCAGGAGAACAGGTAGGAAGGTCCAGTAAACATCCTATAGTCTTGTTTTAGCTTTTTCTCCTTTAGCCTTAATCTTAATTCTCCCTATTTATATTTCCCCCTCTCTTTCTAGTGTAAATTTTTTTCCCTAGTGTGATGATTCTTCCTATAATGCTCTCTTGTCCTATCTAATGTTGAACCGGGTGCTCAAGTATGGCAGAATAGCTTGTCTCATTTTTTCTGCCATGTTAACATCCTTAACCCTTTTTCCTTTTGTTCAGAGCCCATCTGGCAGTGAGTCCAGCAGCAGTAGCAGCAGGCGAGAAAGACAAAAACAAAAGAAGAGATCAACTGTGGTCAGAATACCAAAGACTCTTCCTTCCATCAGTGTTTCATTGGTCAGGAGGAGGATCACTGGGAAGTAAGTCTCTACTAGTTATATCTCTTAATATCGCATCATCCATCCATCCATCCATTTTCCTCCGCTTATCCGGGACCGGGTCGCGGGGGCAGCAGTCTAAGCAAAGATGCCCAGACTTCCCTCTCTCCAGACACTTCCTCCAGCTCCTCCAGGCCCAGGCCAGCCGAGAGACATAGTCCCTCCAGCGTGTCCTTGGTCTTCCCCGGGGCCTCCTCCCGGTGGGACATGCCCGGAACACCTCCCTAGGAAGGCGCATCATATCGCATATCATATTGCATCATAACGATGTGAAATATTTCTGATAGTGTAGATATACTGTAGTTTTGTATCAGATGCATTTGTCATTTTCTAAAGGTCAAAAATATACTTTCCTCTTTTTATTACTTTCCTCACTTGACACTTTTTGACACCCCTTTCTGTTTTTATTTTCTTTTTCCTCTTGAGACTGGACTCCCTGAAGGAGGTGCACAGAGCACGGCAGGCAGAGCTAAGGAGGATGGAGGGCGATGTTGAGAGTGCTAAAACCTCAGTGGAGACTCTGGAGGAAAGTTCCTCAGAGAGACAGCTAAAGTTTTACCGAGCCATGGCCGTCTATGTTCACAACCTGGTGGAGTGTCTACGAGAGAAGGTCTGTCCAAATAACCTCTATCTCATAAAAGCAAACATGTCAAGAAAATAATTAAAAGTAAAGTAGCCAACATTGATGGAATGGGTTAGATTATTTATAACTGGTTAAGTTATTGCTGTATTTTTGTCAAACACCACCAGCATGTAGGGATTATAACTGCTCCCCCTGTGGAAGGTAAAGTGTGATAATGTTCTGACAGTTGTTTGTTGACTATAGGTTGTTGAGATCAACTCTTTGGAACTGGAGCTTCATACTCTGCTGTCTGACCAGATGGAGGCACTGTTGGCTCAAAGACGACAGAAGGTCAAGGAGCAGGCTGAGTGCCTGCAGCAGCTCAGCTGTGAGTCACATCTTTGTGTCTGTGTGTGCTTTGTGTTAAAACTATAAACATTCCCTGTGCATTTTGTTATTTCAGCATAAGTCATGCATGTATGTATGTTTCTTGTTGTTCTGGATCTTAAGTATGAGTTTTTCTGCTGTAGGAACCTAACAAGCTTGATACCCTGAGCTTCCCACAACGGTCACCAAACATAACCTCACAGGCTGACGTGATCTGTTCTTCTTTGCTTTTCCACTGCATTTTTCCCTGTGTTGGTCCTTGTTTAGACAAGCACAGGGCTACTTTCCTCACACACAGCTGAGCAGAGAATGTGAGCCAAGGACAAAATTTGTACTAGCTAGTTTATCAAACAACCGTAGAACAAGCATAACACAAACTTCCAGAAATGTGAAAACCCTTTTTACATCTATATTTGAGAGTGTGGACCAATTCTTTAAGTAATTTTGTTCTTTAGGTAACTCTGGTGCGGCTGTGAAACGTCATGGAGAGTAATGGAAGTTTACTTCAGGTTAACAATGAAAATGCTGGAAATGGAAAAGCCTGAACAGTGGAAGGTGAAATGTCTCCAAGAAAGAATATTTTCATCAAGTGACTTCTTCATCTCACTTTTTTAGATACCACAGTTGAGCAGAGTGGAAGCTCAGTCGAAGGAACAGAACCTCAAGGGTGAGCGATGTTTAATGATATCATTTATGTTGTATTAAATATATTCTACACTTTTTACTTATTCCCATAATGCCATTAAAAAGATTTGTGGATTGGAATGATGATCCGATCACCACCAAAATGTAGTGGATTGTTCTGTGGGCCAGACCATACAGATTCCATCAAAATCCATTGGTGACCTTTTGAGTTATGCTCTGAACAAACTAACAAACAGTGGTAATAACATAACCTTGGCAGAGGTAACAACAAAATTGCTGATAGTAAATAAGAAATGCTTACAAAATGGATTTGTAACAGTCTAGTACAAAATATTATAAACAAGGTCTGTGAAATGGGTACAACACTCGGCTAATTTTTGTCATATATTGCAGTGGAGTAAGCACTGCTGCTGAAGCTGAGGAAGACTCTGATATTCCTGAAGACACACAGCCTTCAGCAGAAGAGGAAGAGCAGCTGCAGAAGAAGAAGGGTGAGAAGGAAGTAATCTGTTCAGCTCTTTCTGCTTAACTAAATCCTTTTAACATAACTGCTTTAACACTATAAAGTGTGATACAGTAAAATTCTGCAAGGCTGTAGTCTACTGATTGCTAAGTTCCTCTTTCTTCTTTTTTTTATGTTAAAATTAGCAGCAGCACCTAAGTAGAAGAAAATGTTGAGTGATCCCTCTGTTGCTTTTCTCTGCCTCTGCCCCCTCTACAGCTGATATCCTGTTGCAGTCACAGGCAGTGTTTTCTGATGTCAAGGAAGACTTCTGCAACGTTAAAAAGGTTCTGTCTCATTTTGAAGAGTGGAGAGGATCTTACTCTGACTCTTACCACAATGCCTACATCTCTCTGTGTCTGCCCAAGCTGTTGAACCCCATCATCAGACATCAGCTGCTGCCATGGAGCCCACTAAAGGTACTTAAACACCTGGGCACACAGAAGCTTGTTATACATACAGCTGCCATTATATGACATGACATTAGGTGCCTAATGTAATATGTGTGTGTCTCAGGATGTTAGTGGGGACTTTGAGAACCTCCCATGGTTCACAGCATTGGAGACGTTTTGTCATGGACATGGCCATGAGGAGTTGGAGAACACAGACAGACAGACACTGTCTAATGTAATAGAGAAGACTGTCCTACCCAAAATAACGGGTAACGCACACACACACACACACACACACACACACACACACTTGCGCATCCTAGAGAGTCTAGTGAGACTAAAACCAACCTGGCGGGGCTAATTTCCAAACCATACTTTGACAACACAGGGTAGAGAAGCTGGAATAACAACAGAAGGGCTGTAGGCAGCAGAGTGTCATGGAGGGCGTGTAGCTGGGAGACACCACGTCCTGTCCTACTGTCACTGGGTTCATTAGACAGTGTGTAAAATCTTAATGAAAGCACCTTTCACATATCATTCCCAGCTTTACTGTACTCATTGGAGTAAAGTCTGGGGCAGGTGTCATGTCAGACAGACCACACATGATTTCCTGAAGAAAAATTTTATTTTTGGTAGTTTGTGTACCTGTTCCTTATTTCTGTCTTTTTATTCTAATGTTTCTTGTTTTCCCTTAGTTTTTTCTCTGCTTCCTCTTCTTTCACTGTCTGCTCCAGTAACAAGGTGCATCTCCACAGTGGAAATCAAGCTAACATCCAGTCTGATTCATGTTATATTCTGCTATCCACTCACCTTTAAGCAACCTCTCCAGATACTTTTTAGACCACAGATGTGTCAAAAACATCACACTCTGCCTGTCTTTGTGTGTCTATTTTCTGCTCAGCCTATGTGGAGCTGGTCTGGGATCCCATGTCGCACCATCAGGCAGTCTGTCTGTCTGATGTTTGCCACAGACTGAGGGACGACTATTCCATCTTTGAAGGAGAACACAGTAAATCAGTCAAGGTGAAACAAGGAAAACATCCTGCTTTGCTATTTTAGCAGATTTGTAATGTGTTTGTCAGACTACAGCCTCCAAGCTCCACAGTGATCGTAGAATGCCTGTCATCTAAAAAGAAGTGGATTCATCAAGTGTCAACACAGTGTGTGAACATGTTTGTGTTAATGTCCCTTGCAGGCATTCATAGAGGCTGTGGTCAGGAGACTGAGGAGCTGTGTTGATGAAGATGTCTTCATCCCTCTGTACCCCAAAAGGTCTGGTTCTGTCCTACCCATTTTAATTTAAACATTAAGTAATGATTTGAATGGCTAATGACGAGAAAGCAGGTTTTGTTTTTAAGAACAATGTAACATAATTTTTCTCACCTGTGGGCCACACTGTTACAAATTTTTTTTTTCCTTTATTTCTTCCAAGCATATAAAAGAAAATTGTATATATGCACTCATGTATACACACAATTACAAAAATAATAACCATATAACCAATACACATAAAACATCACAACATTCCAATAGTCCATGCTTGAAAAGGGGTAGGAAGAAGTATACACTTATCTAGTCCTACCCCTTTTCTTAGACTGTGGTACCACTAGCCCAACACTGGACATTCAGACCCATAGCAGTGCCAGTCCCCAACAGCCACCAGATATCCATCCTATCACCACCCTATCCATTGTACATACCAAACAAACCACCCCAGCACCGCACACTGACAGGCCCCGCCCCATAAAATGTAAATAAAAATGTAAATGTATCCAATCTGTTATTAAAAAGTTTTTCTAAGATTTTTGAAAATTGTGATAGCAGGGAAACAGGCCTATACTTTGTGAAATTGTGCTTATCCCCAGATTTGTACAACGGAATAACTTTTGCTATTTTCATACTACTAGGAAACTGCCCGGTTTGAAATGACAAATTAAAAATATGAGTTAATGGTTTGGATATCCCCTCAATTACCCACTTTACAGTTGTTATATTAATTCCATCACTATCAGTAGATATCTTATTTTCACATTTAACTATATCTATAATCTCCTTTTCAACTATTGTCTTAAGAAACATGGAACTCATGTTCCTTTCGATCGTATTGTTATTTATGCTTTCAGATGAATCATCCATATAAATACTTCTTGCTAAATCAGGTCCAACATTAATAAAAAATCTGTTAAACTTATTTACTACATACTATTATCCTCTAATAATTTAGTGTAATATTGTTTTTTGCAACTCCTCATTATCTCGGTTAATCTATTTTTATATGTCATATTTTTCTTCCACCTGACTTGATTTTATAAATTGTCTATATACGTAACGCATTCTTCTTTTTACATGCAATCTGTAGTCCCTTACTCATCCATGGTTTCTCACTGTACTTCCTATTAATCTTATACTGCTTTCTAGGACAGTTCCTATCATATAATGCCTTAAATATATATAGAAATTGCTCATATGCCTTGTCCAAGTCTCCTTCTCCTGTAAACCGATTCCCAGTCCTGAGCCATAAAGTCCTCTTTTAACTTCCTTATAGCATCTTCATTAATCACCCGCTTGTAAATAAAATTTGTTTTTGGCCTTTCTTTTCTATACTGGCAACCGCAAAACAAAAATACTGCCAGATGATCACTAATATCATTTATAAGTAATCCACTTATCATTTTATTATTAATATCATTAGTAAATATATTATCAATTAATGTTGCATGCTGGGTAGTTATTCTACTAGGTTTTGTAATTTTGGGATATAAACTGCATCTATATAGTGTGTTAATAAACTCCTCAGTTCCTATGTGATTATTTAGCATTTAACAAATCAATATTGAAATCACCACAAATGAACATTAATTTGTGACTTATTGTCAAATAATTTTCTTCCATCCAATCATTAAAAGTGTCTATGCTAGAACCTGGTGCCCTATATATACAGCTTATTACGATATTTTTCTTTTTTTCCATCAATATTTCTACCGTTACACACTCCAACAGTTTATCCACCACTATTGACATTTTGTCCATAATCTTATACCTAAAGTTTTTATCTACATACAATGCCACGCCACCTCCCAGCTTTGTTTCTCTATTTATACATACCCTATCATATCCATCAATGTCAAAATCCATACCCCTTACATTATTAATCCAAGTTTCAGAAATTGCAATTATGTTAAATGAGTGTGTAAGACATGTTTTATACTATGAAAATTAGCATATAGGCTTCTGCTATTAAAGTGAATTAATGATATTTTGTTTTCAGTTTTAACATTACTGTTAAACTGTTCATCCGTATAATACTGGCAATCACTGTTGGTGTTTGTAAAAAATAAATTTTTCCGGATCAATATCGTTATCCAATCCCTGAAAGTGATATTCAGTATATCCATAGATATTCAATTCCAGTCCATCAAAATCTATGATCCTCTGTAAAAGCCTTAGACTGCTCTGTCAGGTTGTAAAAATGCAGCTGGACACCTTGACCTGAACCTGAGGGTCTCCGTCTCCCTTTGTGCCAGACAGAGTCACGGAGCATGTCCATCCGTTGCAGTGTCTGATGTTCCCCCCTCCACTTTTATTCATGCACAACCACAATCACTTATAGTATCTGCTTCCACAGCCAGAGACACGCACATGTTACTCCTGTCCCAGCCTCGTGTGTGTGTGTGTAGCGTGTAGCATCTTCACGACCGCAGCCAGCTCTCTGTCTCCATGTGTTCCAGACTGTCAACAGTGACTTGTCTGAATGGTCTGAACACTCCATACATCATCTGCTTCAGCTGAAGGGAAAAGCCCACGGCCCTCTTTGTTGTCTGCTCGCTGTGAGCGGCACCATCAGAGAGAATGCTTTGTGTCAGTGAGGATTGGCACTGAGATTATGGATGTCACTCATATTGAATATTCACAGATACTGAGTTTTCATTGTGTTACATCCTACAGCTACGCCCGTGAAGAAGACCTGCAGCTGAACCGGTGAAGGGTCTGGTTAGACGGGGCAGCTAGTGGTTTCATTTTAAATGCAGTGTGCAGGAGTACAGAGCACTTACAGTTGAAACATGTCACAACCAGAGCACAGATCAGTATTTAAGCTTAAAGGGAAGTTTAATGGGAGAAGCTTGAGAAATGCAACATCTGTTCTTCTAAACGGTTCAGCTGTGGTCTGAAGAGGAGACGGGAGTCAGTCCAGTGTTAACAGCCGGCTGCAGTGCAACAGCTACTCAGCCTTTGTGTTTACTTTTAAGTTGAACTGGTGTGAGTTTTATATGAGTGGTGGAGGTTTCATCCCACAGCAGCATCTGTTTATTGTGCAGCATGTAAAGTAATGTGCTGTTTGGTTTGTAAATAAATCAAATATTCATAATAAAAACTTGGAATGTAAATTGGCCTTTGGTCTGTCTTGACATGGTGTTTTTTTTTGTTTTTTTTTCCGTCTGCTTATTCGTTTACTTTGCTGTTTTCCAGATAGCAGAGAGTCTGCCGCTCTCTTGGTTCAGGGATTCTTTGCCTCAGCTCCAGCATTTCAGAAACCACCTAGTTGAGAAAATTCATACCATCTGCAAACAACAGCCTCCTGAAGATCCAAATACTAGGTAACATGTTTGCATAAGAAATAAAACAGCTTTTGGAATTACTGTAAATTTGTCTTGTGAGATGAAGAAAAAAAAACAATTAGTTCTTTTTACTGATGTGTTTGGTACATTATGTACTATAGGACAAAATACTTAGGTGTACTTTGACATAATAATGATGCCACTGTGCGTCTTTACTGTATTAACAACTGATTACCTTCTTGAAATAGTCTAACAATAGCTGCCATGACGGTTCCTAAACAAATGTGCTAATGAGGCTAGTGTGTGTCCACATCAGTCAGAAGTTGCACTAAATTCACCTTCTAACAGCCAAACAACTACCAAAAAACTCAATTTATTTGTATTAAAATTCTCATGACAGTTTTATTGCTGTAATTGGGTTTACTTGATAATCCACCAGCAGTTGGTCATAAAAATTGCTTCACAATTTTCCAAGAGATACAAGTGGCAAAATGTGAGATTTTGTGTAGTGATCTCCATAAATTCATATCGAAATTATGACTGCTGTTCAAAAAGTTCTACTGACAACTGTAATTCTCTAATCCAGACTTGTGTGTCTCCGTAGGTCTGCTGTGGTTGAGGTGCTTCAGATTCTGAGTAGGATCAGGTGCTATGACTCTATCATGTCTATAACACAGAAATATCACTACGAGGATGTCATCTATTCTTACCAGCTGCTGAATCCAGAGACTGGATGAGCAACAAATTTTGTGGATCACATAGCAAACATAGTACACTGTCATTTTGAAAGCAGTTGTTACAGGCTGACGATGAACTGGGTGGGAGAGAATAGTTGTACTGTTGCAGTTGCCTAACTAGAAAGTTATGTATTGCTATGGCACATAGCTACTGCTAGTCAGAGCAGCCAACTAGCAATAGTACAGGGTAAAAACACTGTATACATACTGTAGATGTGTAAAGTTTATGGCAACAGACAACTTGTGTTGTACCGTCATTTCAGAAAGGAAATGGTGGAAACGTCTGGGTAACATAATTCCCCTTCCCACAGTTTCTGTCATGACCATTTTGCCGTCTGTTTTGTACATGAGAAAACTATTTTATTAATGAATAAATATTGCAAATTTGTCAAATTTATAATCTATTTCTTGTGATATACCTTGCCTTAAACTGCACAGTTCAGTGCACCGATAGAATAACATTATTAGAATTAT